GGGGGGTTACAAGAAATCATATCCCAAAAAATAATCATTCATTTAATTAATATCTTTCTTGTTAGTATTCATCATCCATGTTCATTATTGTATGATGTTACAAAAAAATCATATCCCAAAAAATAATCACTCATTAATTAATATCTTTCTCTTTAGTATTCATCTTCCATGCTCATTATTGTATGAGTTTTAAATCACATAAGAAACACGGTAGTAATGATATTCGGCGTCGATCAAGCTAATATGGATAAACGTAAAGGAAAAGAAATCGACAACACCGCGGAGATTACAATGGTTTATGAAGACAATCCGAGTTCGAGGTCGGGAAATCATGAAATCAACCAAACCGAATGTCATGGTAATAGATTTTTATTTTTTTTAGATTCATATTGATCGAAAGTACGTTCATTACAATGTGTTGTGTTTTTTTATTGTTCATCTCATATTATTTCTATGATATTCTATCACCATGGTGCATTTTCATCTCACATATAAAAATCGTTAACTACGAGTGGTTAACTAATTATAAAATGCATTTATGTTCATATCTTGTTCACGTGAAGGAAAAGAAATCGACAACACCGCGGAGATTACAATGGTTTATGAAGACAATCCGAGTTTGAGATCGGGAATTCATGAAATCAACCAAACCGAATGTCTTGGTAATATATTTTTATATTTTTTAGATTCATATTGATCGAAAGTACGTTCATTACAATGTGTTGTGTTTTTTATTGTTCATCTCATATTATTTCTATGATATTCTATCACCATGGTGCATTTTCATCTCACGTATAAAAATCGTTTATGTTCATATCTTGTTCACGTAAAGGAAAAGAAATCGACAACACCGCGGAGATTACAATGGTTTATGAAGACAATCCGAGTTCGAGGTCAGAAAATCATGAAATCAACCAAACCGAATGCCTTGGTAATAGATTTTTATTTTTTTAGATTCATATTGATCGAAAGTACGTTCATTACGATGTGTTGTGTTTTTTATTGTTCATCTCATATTATTTCTATGATATTCTATCACCATGGTGCATTTTCATCTCACGTATAAAAATCGTTAACTACGTGTGATTAACTAATTATAAAATGCATTTATGTTCATATCTTGTTCACGTAAAGGAAAAGAAATCGACAACACCGCAGAGATTACAATGGTTTATGAAGACAATCCGAGTTCGAGGTCGGGAATTCATGAAATCAACCAAACCGAATGTCTTGGTAATAGATTTTTATTTTTTTTAGATTCATATTGATCGAAAGTATGTTCATTACGATGTGTTGTGTTTTTTATAGTCCATCTCATATTATTTCTATGATATTCTCTCACCATGGTGCATTTTCAACTAACGTATAAAAATCGTTAACTACGAGTGGTCAAGTAATTATAAAATTCATGTATGTTCATATCTTGTTCACGTAAAGCAAAAGAAATCGACAACACCGCGGAGATTACAATGGTTTATGAAGACAATCCGAGTTCGAGGTCGGGAAGTCATGAAATCAACTAAACCGAATGTCTTGGTAATAGTTTTTTATTTGTTTTATATTCATATTGATCGAAAATACGTTCATTACGATGTGTTGTGTTATTTATAGTCCATCTCATATTATTTCTATGATATTCTCTCACCATGGTGAATTTTCATCTAACGCATAAAAATCGTTAACTACGAGTGGTCAACTAATTATAAAATACCTTTATATTTGGTCCTTGTTCATGTTTATATATATATATATATATATATATATATATAATCCTTGTTCATATTCACATATATATGGTCCTTGTTCATGTTTACCATTCGTTCATTTGGTAATATCACCATACATGTTTATATACATGGCTCTTGTTCACGTTCATGATTTGTTCCTGTTCATGTTCACAGATACATGGTTCTTGTTCATGTTCATGTTCATTTGTCCGTGTACATGCACATATACATATGGTTCATGTTCATATTCATATATGTACATATACATATGGTTCCTGATATGTTTACCATTCGTTCATGGTCTTTTTTTGAAAATTTTACATCAAATTTTGTTATTTGCGATTTTTCCACGGTGTGTTCCAAATGTTTGCAATTGTTCATATTATTGGGTGGTTAATTGCATCTCTTAATGTGTTTATATACGTCATACATTGACATCATTCCAAAATTTTTCATGACATTAGAGTATGTACATTTTAACATGTCATCCTGCTATTTTACGTTAATCATAATCATCGTCCAATTGTTCACATATGTGTGTTCATTGAACAAAAGATGTGAACACCGTACGATTATTTGTTACAAGATATTATTGTATCAACAGGTGTTCCTATTCTTACAATATCAGAACATGAACCGGAGTACGCTGTCGAGGAGTGTTCACAAGGAAATCAGTTTTTTATCCCCAAGGTTGATGACGAGCTTAAACCAAAGATCAACTCACACTTCTTAACTATAAATGACGCGGAAAAGATGTATAGGGCATATGCGGACAATGTTGGTTTTGATGTTCGTCTGCACGCCAAAAAAACAAACAAGAACGAAGATATACAAACAAGATGGTTTGTATGTAATAGGGAGGGAACACCAAACAAAAAGTTTTTTGATTCCATGGATATTCAGTCTGGTGAAAGGAGATACCGTAACACGAACCTTAAACGTTGTGGATGTTTAGCATGCATAAAAATCCATTTGAAAAAGGATAAGTCCGGTTACGAGATATATGAGTTTGTCGAGGCACATAATCATGCGCTATTCAATACTAACGATCGACGTTTCTCAAGGAAAAATAGACAGATGAAGTATACGGATTTCAAAAATGTCCTGAATAGCTCGAGCTACAAAGTCGGTGCGATTAGGGCTCACCGTATACAAACGACATTGAATGGTGGGTTTGAGCACAATCGATGTTCTGAGATCGACTTTAAGAATTTCAAAAGAGATGTAGTTGCATGTGTTGGGAAAAAGGATACGAAGATGTTGATCAATAAACTATCCAATAGGCGAGATATTGTTCCCGGGTATTTTTCGAGTACAAGTGCAATGATCAGGAGTTGGGTGCCATTTTCTGGACAGATGAGGCCGTTAGAGTTAACTACAAAGAGTTTGGGGATGTAATTTCGTTCGACGAGACGTTTCGCACAACAAGTAAGATTTTCAAGTTCAATCAGTTTTTTGATGTATGGTACTTGTTGGTATTTTATTATAACTTTTATTTTACCTCATAGGCATGCGATGATTTTTGTTTCCTTTTTGGCGGTTGACAATCACAAAGCTTCGGTTGTCGTCGGATCGGCGTTAATAAATGGTGAGACAATTGAAAACTTCACATGGGTTCTAAGAGCTTTCCTAAAATGCCATGAGAAGCAGCCAGTTTTTGTGATTACGAATCAATGTTCGGCGATGAAGCAAGTCGTCCCGTTGGTGTTTACGGAAGCTAAGCACCGACTATGTATGTGGCACATCATGAAGAAAGTGCCTTCTAAGGTAAGTACACTTTAATAAACAACTCTATTTCATAAGTAAATGACACTGTTCATAGGTTCATATTGTGATTGGTACGTCCGCAGGTCAGTGTCGCCCTAAATCAAGATCGTCTGTTCAATAAGGTTATTAACAAGCTCGTGTGGAACATAAATATTGGCCCATCGGAATTCGAGACCAAGTGGCAAGAGATGATCGAGCAATACAATTTAGTTGGTGATCTGTGGTTCATAGAAATGTATGAAATCTGCGCATCATGGATTCCGGCGTATTATAAGGACACACCGATGTCTGGTCTTATGAAAACGACATCAAGATCCGAGAGTTCAAATTCGTATATTAACATATACGAATCATACTGGTTTGATTTGGTTCAGTTCCTTAATAATTATGACGTTGCTATAGAGAAACAAAGGTACAAGCAAGTTGTGCATGAAATAATAACGATGACAACATATCCAAAGTTGGTTACTCCATTGCGCTTAGAAAGTCAAGCAGCAAGGGTATACAGTCGAAATGTGTTCTTTGACATCCAAAAGGAATTAAAGAAGGCTGTATGGTTTTGTGGTATAGAGACTGTCGAATGTCGGGGTGATCTCAAAACGTTCATTATAAGCCACAAGAACAAGAWRWMGTTTGTCMACACCACGTATCTGGTASTATATTCCTTACATAKATACTAATGTCTTTTAAATTCTTCGGTTAATATAAGYTGTTGTTTATTCGGAACCTAATGTARCTATTTTAGGTCTCCCRAAACTACCCAGCYAACACGGTCGAATGCGAGTGCAATCTATTCACGCGTAACGGKTATYTGTGTCGTCATGCATTTAAGGTTCTAATAAACGAMGAAGTTGAAAGTATTCCGAACCAATACCTTTTACGTTGATGGAAACAAAATTTGGTCCCTGTCCAGATACAATCYGCTAGGGTTCGATAYKGTRAGGTGGATGCRGAGAAGGATAAGTCCATAATTGATGTATACTCCAAAGTCGACRACATTATAAGCATCGCCCGGAATGATAAATCGATACTGAMTAGATTGGAGCAGAATCTCGACAATTTCATGGTTGATATCGAGAAAGAGGTACCGTATGAAGACCCATCCCAACAAAAGTTGGACGCGATCAGAGATCACCTTGGTGTTTCCATACCGGATGATGTGGACATTCTACCACCATCTGGAATAAGGAACAAGGGTTGTGGTACTGGTAAGAGGTTGGTAAGCGTGTATGAGAAAATACAGTCTGTAAGCAAGAAAACCCGTCGAAAATGTGCGACATGTGGCCAACGTACCCGACATGACTCACGCAATTGCCCCGAATTGAAGTAATCAGTTGTCCAATTATTGGAAATATCATCGTTTCAGTGGTGCTTCGTTTTTGTCAATTTTACATTTTGTCATGCGTCGATTTCGGTTTATGTTATCTTATGATTGACATACATCGTCTACTTTTCATTTTATTACTTATTAACAAATGTCTTAGTCATTAGTTGTTATTTCCAAGACTAAGTAATAAAACCACCGTAAGTGCGGTGTTCATACTTACCGACAATATATGATTTGGTAAGTGTTTTCGTGAACAATATTGAACTTCATCCGATCTTGTCATGTTTTTGTATTGTTYGGTATGATTCATATGTTGACGTTTCTTGTATTCGGAGGGTCTTGACAATAAAACTGTTGTCTTTTGGTTATCAAGCTTTTGATTTGTTACAAAAATAAATGCCGAAGTTGATACTACTTGACAGAAACTTGATTTTGTATATTATTTGTATGATGTTCGTTCGTATTATTTATGCTAGTATGTATGTTTGAAGTTATGATGTAGTGTTCAAGTAACCATGCCACTTACTGTTGATGGCTAACCATATTTGCCAAACATCTTGTTGCTGATTTACTTGGATTAGATCGATCAAGTTATTCCAGATGTCCAGAAAATGTACTAATCTTATGTGAGAATACCATTTACACCGTTTTAGACAAAAAAACATGCTGGTAAATAACAATCAAACTACACAGCAAGAAAAACAATGCCATTAAGATGTGTATGTGTGTGTGTGTTTGATTAGATCAAATGATATGCAACTTTCCGTTGTACACACGGTAAACAGGATCCCACGGTAAACAGGATCCCATTGATGTTCACTAATGTTTATCATTTGTTTTTGTTCATGCACAACAATCATTCAACTGATAATGTCATAATTTGATATGCCTAATGAATTGTTAAGCATCATTCTAGTTCTTAATGTTTTACACTACATACAGTATAATGAATGTCATACTACAATCTATAATGTGAAACAGTGTCAAGCGAGGTGCATTGTCACGATAACGCAGTATAAATTTGTTGATATCAAACCGGTGCAAAAATAAACCCCAAAAACAGCTTTGATTAATCAAATACGGAGAATGTATGAACACACATGACGTGCGTTTATGTCTAAAAAATGTTACGCTACCACAAATATCCAAAAGGTAAGTGGTAAGAAAAACCAACTAACATAAATGTGTCAAGACAAAATAAGCAAACATCTATTTCTTCCCCCGACTCATCAGTCGTGCACCACGATTTTTCCTAGCATCGTACGATGTCTCCATCGCAATGAACCTTTCTACATCTGATACGATAGATGTCTTACGGATGTTCTCATCGCTTAGTAGCATCTTCGAACAATATTTGGTCCTGAGATCCTTCAACTGTCTCTTTTGCTTCGTACCCTGTTTATACAACCCACATTCCTATTTCATTACGTCTCCTCCAAAGAATGTCTCCATGTGCCGCATTAACATAACACCAGCGTCTACGGTATTCTCTCGGAATTGCCATCGTGTCTTGATATGGTCCTGATCCATTTCAGCGTACACTTTCCACGCCCCATGCCCCTCTTTTAATAGGTGCATTATCATCATATCTTGCTGCATACATGATAAAGAATGGCAAATATAAATATATGTCCATAGTGATCGTAACAAAAAGAAATTTTAAGTTGTTTTACCAAGCCTACAGTGCTCGAGCCATATATATCATCCACTTTTCCATCCCGATTCTGGCTGTCTAATATGGCTATTGATGGGCGCTTCAGATCGAATACTAGAACGTAATAGAACGACGGTTCTACAACCGGGAAGAAGACCTACAATTTTTAAAAGCCGTATCTAGTTGATACTATTTGGATTAATGCTTAAATAGCATACGTACAGTTTCGATCGAAGTTAAAAGATTTACCAGATCAACGTTACGCATACTGATCAATTCTTTATCATTATTCATGCAGCTCGTGATGTTCTTTCGGAATCTATCATACCTCTGGTTAACATTCAAATCTCCATCCCTAATAATAGCATGAATCTGCAATTATTAACAAACGAATAAGGTTAATTATAGACTACAAGTCATTAATATGGCAATTACATCGACATTCATTCATATACTATTACCGAAATGTCCGTTTGTACAAAGTAGCGCCTAGGAGACTCATTGCTCCTCAACCTCTCCTCTTTGTTAAGAACCATTGACCACACGTCTATAATTTCTGTGCTAACCACGCTTTGAGATACAAGGGATTGCATTGTTTGACATGTCATTGTCTTCCCTTTTGTTGTCATGAAAACCGGTTCACTACATGTTTAATTCGTTAGGTAGTAATATCCAAATTGACAATAACACATATTTGTACAAAATAACCTTTAAAATTTGGACAATTTAACTTACAGAGTTCCGCCTATGCCTCGTAATATCCAATTTTGCAGCTTTCTTTCGTCACTACTCACCTCGAACGTAACCGCACGCGTAACATATGGTGAACGTAGTTTAAAGCTCAGTTTCGGGTCTCTTTTTGGCATTGTAGATATGACGTTTTTGTGTCCACCTATTGCTTTCGAACTACCAGCACAAGCAATGACCTCTTCCTTAGATGGACTTATTCCCAAATCGAAAGCTGGTGCATCGATACCTGCATACGAATCAATTTCTTGGACGTTGTTACACGAATGATGGTAGCCAGTGCATAAACTATATGTGCATGTCTGTTCGTATACGTACTTGTGTACGCGCATGCAAAATGTTGTTTATAAGTGTTATTTGTTTGATATATCACTACGACGTTCTTATATGATGTAGTGATGAACGGGGTGTGAAACACTTTGGTGTATAGGTGCACCCTTTCTTTGTGTGTGAAACATTAGTGTGTGTGTGTGTGTGCGCTTAGATCACATCATATGCACCTTCTCATAAATCAGCATCGTGGACAAGACAATAACATATATTAATAGTTGTTCATGTATGTACTAAATGTGCATTCTTTTGCCCATATACACAGCCATATACGCCCAACCAAATTATGGTGGAAGTTGTAAATTTGTGTTCATATATGGCTGGACCAACGTCAATATGTATGCATAAATCCATCATGATCATACCTACCACATAAACTCAATAAATTAAAAAAGAATTGTTATTATGAAGCCGTGTAAACATTCCTTTTGGCCCATATATTCACATCAACAGACGCCCCACAAAATTAAGGTAGCAGCTGTTAGTTTGTGTTGATATCTTGTCCAACCATAAACCAACGTCAACACGGTGTTCTAATACGACATAGTGATGATCATTATGTGAAAAACTTTGTTATTTATGTGATAAACAATGGAACGATGTGAAGTTATTAACATACGAAAAAACCTGCATATCAAGTACCTGTTTGTGAACGTCTACGTAGTTTACTTGCTCGATTTTCACATTCATCTATGCCTCTACTTCGAACCCTCCCCACACTCTCCAATTGTGCTTCTAACGATGTCATCTTCACCTTTTTCCAACAGCTTCGGGTCTGTGATACATCCTACTCCTTTTGCTGTGATAGCAGCTCTCTCGTTTGATGCTCGGTCAACCATCGCAATCACGGTGGGGCTTGTCCAAAATTGTGATAACGGTGATAACATCACAGGATCGGATGTGGTTGTCATCTTAGGAGGAGTTACATCAACAACCGCCAATCCTTTGTCACTATGTTGACCTTCATCCTGTCGGGTCTCCCATATGCTGTCTTTGAACATTCTTGCCAGTTCTTATTTGAATTGGTCGAAACATTTGTCACCGGAAAAACATTCGACATATGCTTGCAGCAACATGTCTGTTTCCGTCCTTGAAGAACGGAGATCCGCGATTCGCTCACCCATCATTTTGATGCATTCCTACAAACCCATGCACAAATTATAAAGCAAGAAAAATACGTAACAATGTGGTATGTGCAAACAGCAAATATAATTAAGTCAATCTTGTGTGTTTGACGATAAAAAAAGACACATCTGTATGTGAAGTGGAAATGCTGAAGGAAGGCAGAGAGTTGCATAAAACTCGAATTGTGATTCCTTACGCTGATTGTGAACACACATTTACAGAGCGTATTGACAAAGGTTCACATATTCATACACATATTTTGACCCCCCAAAAGAAAACATTGTCATCCGTTAATCTGTGTGCATACATGGACCATGAATGAACCACCGTGAACATCTTTATAATTTTTTGTAATGTATGTACATTACTTAAATATATGTTCATACATGGGCCCATATCGAAACACAAATCTACGCACCAAAAAATTAACGAATCAGCTGCTACTATGTGATCATAGATGGGCCAAAAACAGCAGCTGACCATAAGACATTATGCACAATATGAAAGCAGAAGAACATGCGTAAAAAATAGCACAAACATTGAATCAATTTATTTAAGTTACCTCTTTAGTCACATTCTGATTTTCTGCTTCTAGCAAATCTATCGTCTGCTGTGTGATGATCTACAATTGTTTGATCATACGCTCCTCGCTTAACGGGTTTAGTACATGTCAATTTTGTGTATCCAAACCCCCCTCTACTAAGCTCCAAGTCTTGTCTTCTCCTCAGTAAATCCAATATCCAAGTTCTCAATGGATATGCTTGATGTTGGTTCTGAATGTCGTCACATGTTGTTGCTTGAACATATAACATCTGCAGAAAGTAAACATAGCAATTGAATGAATAATAACAAACAACTGTTTATTTATATATTGTCAAGGATCAACGTTCTTACCGTTAAACATGTTAGAGGGCCTGCGTAAAATGACAGAAAACTGTCTCTTTTCCAACACAGCTTGCTCGTACCTATGCAATCATACACGTACTTGCACCAGTCAATTCTTAGGATCATGTCTAAGCTATGAACGGGGTTGAGGAACCCCAAATTGCAAACACCGACTTTGCTGCATTCTGCAAGCGTGTTCACAATGATGACCAAGAAACTCAGCCTGAACATCACACTCGCGTCATTTGATTTCTGAATAAAA